GCCCGGCTCATGTGGCTCAGTGGTCGAGCATTGACCTATGAACCAAAAGGTTCCGGTTCGATTCTCGGTCAGGGCACATGCCTGGGTTGACGGCTCGATCCCCAGGAGGGGGTGTGCAGGAGGCAGCTGATCAATGATTCTCTCTCATCATTGATGTTTCTCTCTCTCTCTCTCTCTTTCCCATCCTGTCTGCAATCAATAAAAACATTTATTTTTTTAAAAAAGAGAGAATTAGGAGAGAGGAGTGCACTCAATGTATATCTTTAGATCTGCTTTGAAATTTTAGGGGAAAAACCATGCAGCATTTCTTTTTAAAAAATGTACCCCTCACCAGCCAAGGAAAATTGTCAACTGATACCTATGAGAGCACTGAGGCATTCCATCATTTTGAGTGTCTTGTGCAAATACTACTTCCTCTACTGAGGCTCTTGGGATTGAGTGAAGTGGCAGCCAAGGAAACAGTCACCACGCCCAAAGTAAAGTCTCAGCGATGACAGCCCAACATGACCACTGCTCAGCTAAGCATGTCTTATCTGCAGGAGGGGTCCACAGCGACACGGGACGGCGGGGAAGCTCTGTGTAGAGGAACGACTGCAGTGTCGTGTGGCCGACGCTGGCGATGAAGCGACGGCAGCATCCGGAGAAGCAAATCCACCTGCAGAGACATGGAGGGGACATGGCGAAGGTGAGGGACACATTTTCTAAGGCCAGGAGTCTTGAGGGCACCCTCACACACCCGTCTTCTACGTGTGCTGGGGGAAATCTACCCAGACACACAGGGGCAGCCATGCTTGCAGTAGCTGGGTCCCTGCTGTGGCCAGAAAAATGCCTTTAAAAATGCCTAAGGTCAGCCTGGCTGGTGTGGCTCGGTGGGAGAGCACTGACCCAGAAACCAAGAGGTCCCCGGCTCCATTCCCAGTCAGGGCACGTGCCTGAGTCGTGGGCTGGATCCCCAGAAGGGAGTGTGCAGGAGGCAGCCAATCAATGTCTCTGTCTCTCACCCCCCGCCTCCTGTCCCCTCTCTCTAAAAATCAATAAAAACATATATATATTTTTTAAGTGAAGGAAACCCTTCAGAGGCCCAGGACACGTGTCACTGGACGTGGAGAAAAGCTATGAAGACAGGCGAGAGCAGCTGTCTCTCTTCACTCGTCACGCAGTGTGGCCCTTGGGCCCATTAGAATGACCCCGAAGCCATCCATCCCTAGGAGGCTCCCATCCCAGACTTTCGCGCTGCCAGGAAGCGAGAACTACTCTGACGAAACCTCACCTGCAGCGGGTGGCCTGGAACCGCAGGCAGGCCGAACGCTCGCTCAGTCTGAAGAGTCTTGTCTCAGCGATTTATGGGTGGCAGCCACGCCCCAAAGCGTTCCCAAGACGTCAGGTTCTGAGGGGGAAAAGGCCAGCCAGCGTGGGTGCTGGGAAGTCACCCAATATAACGGTACGTAAGAAACGTTCTAATAAAAATTCCGTGACCTAATTTTTACAACTTCCTGTTATACATAATTATTAATAGCAAACTACGATGTTCGCTAATGACTGATTACTATCATCGTGTTGCCTTCATTTCCCTTACGCGCCTTACGTGCAGGCGCACCATTTCTCTCCACTAATATTAGCAGCGAATATTTTAGCAGCCCATGGCCACATCATTAGTCTTGGACTGACTTGTTTGGTGTGCGCAACAGGAAATATTTAGCTTTCGGAGAACAAAAAAATAGATTTATTTGCGTTACGTTTATTCATTTGTGCAGTTATTCAATGTCTGGTAAGTTCATGTTCATTTATTTGTGTTACGTTTATTCATTTGTGCAGTTATTCAATGTCTGATAAGTTCATGTTCAAGAAAAATGTTAATTTTTATTAAAATGTTCTATTATTTTATGTTAACGATGACTCCTTTATTTCATCCCTTTGTATTCAGCATGTCTCTATGGAAATAAACCTATGTTTCTATGAAAATGGAAACTTTGGTTTTTGGCGGCCCACATAAACTTAAACATTATTTATTTGGCCCATTTTAGCCTTTGAATTTGACATGCTTGATGTACACATAAACCGCACATGAAGACACATGCGTGTAATCTCCTTTAACACAAAGCATGTTGGAGTGTGGGGACCTGTGCTGACATGCCCAACTGTCCCTTCCCCCCCGAGGTCTGACACACACAAGAGAGGCAGGCTAACAATTATGTCAGCGAGATCAAATGTTTCCATTTCATTCAGACCAAATGTCATAAAACAATTATTTAAAATATGTCTTCATTGATTTTTTTAAAGGATCTCAGTTATTTATTTTTTAAAATATATTTTTATTGACTTCTGAGAGGAAGGGAAAGAGAGAGCGAGAGAGAAACATCAATGATGAGAGAGAATCACTGATCAGCTGCCTCCTGCACGCCCCCTACTGGGGATTGAGCCCATAACTCGGGCTGTGCTCTGACTGGAATTGAACCCAGGACCCTTCAGTTCACAGGCCAATGCTCTCTCCACTAAGCCAAACCAGGTAGGACTGTCCTCATTGATTTTAGAGAGACAGCAAGGGATAGAGAGAGAGAAACATCAATGATGAGAGAGAATCATGGATCGGCTGCCTCCCGCATGCCGCCTACTGGGGATCAAGCCTGCAACCTGGACCTGTGCCCTGACTGGGAATCCAATCTGGACCTCCTGGTTCACAGGTACATGCTCAACCAATGAACCACCCCGGCTGGACCATAATTTAATCTTTTTAACTTCATCCAGTCGTGTTTTATGACTTAGCATAGATCTACCCTAGAGAATGTTCTAGGTGTGTTTGAAAATAATTTGGGTTCTGTTGCTGCTGGGTGACCTAGATATCAGCTCACGTAGGTTGATTAGATTGCTCAAGTTTTCTATATCCCCATCAATTCGTTGTTTAACTGGTCTTCAATTATTAAGAAGAAGGTATTGAAGAGTCCAGTTTTTATCACTGATTTTCCCTTCGATCCTGTCAGCTATTGCTTTCTGTAATTTCAGACACTGCTGTAGGGTGATTGTGTTGTTTATAATTGTTATATATCCAATCAGAAAGAATGTATGACCCCTATGTTCACTGCAGCATCATGTACAATAACCAAGTTTTGGAAGCAGCCAAGTACCCATCACTACATGAGTGGATAAAAGAGCTGTGGGACATTTACACAAGGGGATACTACACAACTGTAAAAAAAAAGAGAGAGAAAAAAAATCTTACCTTTTTGCGACAGCAGGATGGACCTGGAGAGCATTATGCTAAGTAAAACAAGCCAATCAGAGAAAGGTAAATACCACATGATCTCACTTGTATGTGGAATCTAATGGACTAATAAACAAAATAGAAACAGACTTATCAATACAGAGAACGGACTAACAGCTCTCAGAGGGGAGGGGCTCGGTAAAAAAAAAAAGGTAAAGGAATTGAACAGCTAAAAGGCCTCATAGACACAGACAACAGTATGGCAATTCCCAGTGGGAAAGGAAGGTGAGGGAGGTAGAAGAGGTAAAGAGGAGATAAATGGTGATGGCAGGAGACTTGACTTTGGGTGGTGAACACACCATACAATATACCAAGCTTGTCAAACTCGAGGACCATGGGCCGCATGCGGCCCACAATGAATATTTTTGTGGCCCAGCCAATATGACGGTATGTAAGAAACGTCTTAATAAAAATTTCGTAACTTTATTAATAATGAAATACAACGTTCGCTAATGATGGATTCTATCACCGTGTTGCATTCATTTCCCTTAGGCGCCTTATGCGCAGGCGCACCATTTCTCCCCACTAATACTAGCAGAAAACATTTTAGCAGCCGATGGCCACATCATTAGTCTTGGACTGACTTGTTTGGTGTGCGCAACAAAAAATATTTCACTTTCAGAGAACAAAAAAAAAAATACGTTTATTTGCATTATGCTTATTAATTTGTGCAGTTATTCAGTGTCTGGTAAGTTAATGTTCAAGAAAAAAACATTACTTTTTATTAAAATGTTCTACTGTTTTACATTAATGATGACTCATTTATTTCAGCCCTTTGGATTCAGCATGTCTCTATTGAAATAAACCTACGTTTTGATGAAAATTAAAGCTTTTCTTTTTTTGCGGCCCACATACACGTAACCCTTGTTCATTTGGCCTGTGTTAGCCTTTGAGTTTGACATGCTTGCAAAATACAGATGATGTATTATAGAATTGTACAACTGAAACCTACATAATTTTATTAACCAGCGTTCCTCCAATAAATGCAATATAAAGAAAAAAAACTGATTGGATTTGGCAAAGAAATCTGTTTACCATTACGAAAGATCCACCGGCGTCCCACAGATCCCGGCCTGCCTCCCTCCGAGGGCACCATCCCACCAGCGAGCCTCACAGGTTTCTCGGAGCATCCTCACGGGCACGTGTTTGGGGCCAGCCTCACCTGGGAGGTGACGAGAAATCACATCCATGATTGAGAATCGTGCCCAGGCTCTCAGGCAACAAGACCATGTGAAATGGGCCCCCAAGGGAAGCTGTGCACCTGTCTATCAAGATTCACTTTCCCTAGGGAGTGACTGCGGGTGCGTGATACCACCACTGTGAGAGGGGAGCTGTCCCTCACTCCTGTCCCTGGGGCTCTGAACGTGCTGGACCTCAGTTACCGATGAGAACGACGACGGTATGAGTTCTCACTCATTTTGTTCAGCTCCAAGGAATGTTGGTTTGGTTTTTTTGGGGGAATCATCATCGATCCCAGCACGTTCTAAAAAATGGAGGTGCCGGATGGTGGCTCATTGGGTGAAGCAAGGACCGTGGAGTACCCCAGGGCCTGCAGGGCCAGGTCCCACCACTGAGCGAGGAACACTCAGTCCATGTCGGAGGGAAACCCCGTGGGCCATCGGGACACTCAAACAAGCCGCCTGCAGCAGCTCCAAACCCACAATCTAATGGCTGAGCGAGGAGCAGAGCATCACTTACCTTCCTGGGGATCCCGGCTCCGTGCCCACTCAGGCACCCTTCATCGGGGACTCCCAGGGACTCCGGCCATCCAGGCAGACAACGGGCTTCTCGTCTTGGCCGATGCAGACCCTGGCGCTGGGGCTGCACCTGAGAAGTGGACACAAATCACAGGGGCGTTTGAGTCATGTGCCCAGGTCGTCAGGTAAAATCCCTGCCCTCCTCTTCCCTTTCATGGGCCTTCATCTGATTGTCCCCTAGGCCTGCCCCTGAGGCATGAGTGAGGGCAGGTGTGACTTCCTGTGTGCAGGTGGGTGGCAAATATGGATGCAGGTGGTGGGTACAGGCCTCCCCATTTGAAAAATGAAGCCCTGTGGGCAGGCTGGTGTGGCTCAGTGGTTCAGCATCAACCAATGAACTAGGAGGTCAGGGTTCAATTCCCAGTTAGGGCACAAGCCCAGGTTGCAACCTTGTTTGCCAGTAGTGGGCGTGCAGGAGGCAATCAATAAGTCTCTCTCATCATTGATGTTTATCACTCTCTCTCTCCCTCTCCCTCCCTCTCTGAAATCAAAAAGAAAATGTATTTTAAAAAGACTCATCCAACACCAAAAAAATCCTCTCTGATGCTAAACACTGGGCGGGCCTGCATGAGTGTGGCGAGTGAAGCTGTCCCTCACTCCTATCCCTAGGATACGGAACATGCTGGACCTCAGTTACCGATGAGAACGACGACGGGTGTAGTTCTCACTCATTTTGTTCAGCTTTTCCAAGGAATGTTGGTTTGGGTTTTTTTT